AAAGAATACAACACTCACAGCTATTATCGTATTGGTGCACAGCTTGACGGTATGCATTTTGACTAAGATGATACATACTTGTTGGGGCTGGTCCTGGCACCTACAATGAAACCATTTTGTTTGGTATATAATTAAAGTATTCTTTTACTTAACTTGAAGTCCCTTCATTTTTATTTCGATTGAGAGTTTGTTTACGGAACTCTGCCTTTCGGACATTACTTATTCTACTCAAAAAAGTAAACAAGATCACAAAACAAAAAAGTAAGCTACAAAAGAAATTGCTGAAGCGTTACAATAAAAGATGGCCACTTACCATATGGTGCCTTGCAGTCTTAGGAAGACCAGATGAGCCATCGGAATGTGTTGAACCCTCAGTAGTAAGCAGAAACAGCTCAAAGCGTCCATTCGAGGAACGATGCAGCCGTTCCATGTCATCCCGAATTTCGGCTTTCACTTCACTGAAATATAGTTATATTAATAGCAGTTATTCTAATGGTGTGCTTTTCCCTAGTTTCGAGATCAGCATTTGCAGAGTACAAATCTGATCCAAGGACCTAAATGGAGGCGAGTTTCAACGACCTTAAGCTTTTGATTCAATGTTATCATGCAGTGGAAACAAGCATCTTTGTTCAGCCACAAATTCATTTCACTACAGTGCTTCACTTCCACATTTCCGACAATTTGATTTCCATAATTTTGTTGTATCAATAGTTCCTCCACCCGCAAGAAGCAAGAAACTTTCCCAATATCTGTTTTCGCTAATAGGGCCGCACTAGGAATATTGGCAGAGGCGAAAACCGCCAGTATTCCTACAGATTTCAAAGAAAACTTGAACACTATTTACGTAAGACGGCTCGACTTTTCCGTGTTGAGATAAAACTTCATATTCTTTATAAATAGAGATCTAGGGTACTTCGACTGCTCCAACGCGGAAATCAACTTGTTTTTTTTAATCATAATTTGCGCGTCTGGTACGTGCACCAAGGTGAGCCATGGGAGAATAGCACCCACCTTATGTGAATCTGTTCACAAATCGTCATACTTTCAACTATAGGAAAGTGTCAAATTAACGTAGGAACTCTCACTAATCTTTCTAGCTATCAGGTCGAAAGGAGTCTGTTCCACGACCTCTCCTGTGAGCATGTACTACTTCATTGCGCTATTGTGTCTGAACTCGCCTAACTCCCCCTGTCTACAAGAACGATCACACGCGATTGTACACATGGCAACGCGAAAAAAAACGTTAACAACCTTGCTCAAGAAATTGATTCATTTTGAAAGGGTGAAAGTCCAAGAGAAGCTCGAACTTCAAATCTTGAACCCTCACTAGAAAGGTCGGAACGACCTGCCGACCTTCTATTTATTATAGCAGGGTGAGCAGAGGAAAAAATAGCGCTTAGAAAGGACATATTCTTTCTCAATACAACTTAATGTTTTTCTGAATTCTCAACTTTGTGCTGTCCCTTAACCTAATCAGGAGCAATGTTGTACATTGTACATCAACGAATTTTCCAAAAGAAATATACGTAAGGCAGCCTAGCCCTCTTGAGGCATAGACATTGTAAAACCAGAAGACACGACACCACAAATATTACCGAATGAGAAAACTTGGAATTTCTTCGATGCTCCATGCAAAACTTTCCGCTTTTACAAAGAGAACATGGGGATCGACATACAGTGAAAGGTAAAAAAAAACGCTTGAACCTATCACTAGGCTCACAAATAATCTCCTATTCATTTTATGGAAGTGAATCGCCAGAAAAGACAATGTCAGAAAGCATTGAATGATGTTTTTCCTTAGATGGCATACTTCCTTTTTGTTTGATACCTTCTTCGAAACCTAATGACAATAATGAGCAAGTGTCTTACATCAGCTTACATTGGGGGGGGATTCGACTTCTGAAGTTCCATGCAAAACCACATCCTCCCTATGGAAATTACAGCTGCTAGAGAAGTGAAGCATAAGTAGCATTCAGGCATTCATTTGAAATAACAATCAAAGTTCGCCAGTGATGGCTATATGTATATCAAATTTTCGTGCAACTAGCGCTCACGGTATCTTACAACGCCTCAATAATTAACCGTTGTCTAGTTTTGGTGGCAGCAAACCTTCGAAAACAAGTCTTGCATTAGATTTCACGCTGCAGGAAACCTTGAGATTACTCTATGTTCACAAAACCTAACACTTTTTACGCGTTCTCAGCTGACGCATCTTATGCGAATACGAGGTTTCAGTGCCCGGTTTTTTTGCTGTGTATTGCGAAATACTTTCTCATTGGAACATCTAGGACCTCCATTTCACGTAACGATGCATATTAACGGGGAAAACTAATGTGAAACACCAGCAGTACATGGAACCAAAGTTCGAAGGTAGCTCACTAGATCAAAGTTCACATCAGCACAAATAAATATCAGACAAAAAAACATTAAAAAAGACTCACCACCCTGTATCTTGGTCGAGGGCTTTGCAGTAATACTTGAAATTTGATCTCATAAGTACCCGTTTGACGTCTCCCAGTGTTATCAAATCAGGTGGAACGTGGACCTCAGTGAGGTAAGGAGTTGGTTCATCGTCAATATGGTAATACACCTAAAATCACAGAAAAATCCAATGTGTTCGAAAATTGTCAAATATTCTGAAGAGATTGCACAACACAACCACTCTCGGGAAATCGCAGTCATATAAATCGCTTCTTCAAAAGGTTTCCGCCAATCATGAATCTCACATTTAAAAAGCGACATCTGGAGGGGGGGGGGGGGGGGACGGTTCAAGCAGCGCAACTTTGATCGAATAAAAATTATTACAATCCCTGCACTTTTGCCCAGAAGTAGAGGGTTCGAAAGACTCGGACATTGAAAGTGGTGTTCTGTGGCCGAAGAACTTGGCGAAGGCCGTTTCATCATCACGTTGGGTTTCAACGTTTGATCACATTGAGAAGATTATCCAAATTGCTGGAAAAGTGGCAGCTGGTATACAAGGGGATACTGTATAAATGGTTTGCAGCACCGTTTCTAGCTGGTGCACGGCTCGAAGCGTGAGATGAGGCTGCGCAAATGTGGTGAAGAGTTGGCGGCCACTTGTCGACTTTTCAAAACTTTTCAACCCTCACCTGTATAATTAGGAACCCCATCTCAATTATCAGCTACGCCTAATTAAGAAGCGGAATGTTCAACAGTTCCATGCAGCTTTGATTTGATCAAAATGATCGATCAAAATTTGGATCCTCAGTTAATCTTTGCCAATGTCCGATATCCGACCCTACCCTAAACTCCTTCAAAGTTTTTATCATCGCGAGCAAGACATTATGAATCACGACTGCACTGCGAATTTTTGTAGATTTGGGAACAAATACTCGGCTAATATCCCGCATTTCCGATAAAACTTGAAAGGAAACATGAAGCTCTTACGTAACAGCCGCTTGAAAATGTTGTATTCAAGACTTCAAAAAAAGGTAGAAAAGTGATTCAAGTTCAAAGTAAGAGTAGACGTAGAAAAAGCGAGAAATGCGATTTCCATTGATATATGTAGTGGCGGGTGTTTCTTAGAAGTTAACAAAAGCCGCGGAAACTTCACGAACAACCCAATACTTATGAAAACTCTTAATGTTAGCCCAAACTTTTGCTCACCTTTGTACTTGTTGCAGGAAATGGTTGATTCGTTATTGTGCTTGGCGGCGCTTCGGATACCATTGAAACTTCGCTTTCTCCCATACCAGAGAGACCACTGGTGGCTGCAATTAGTTAATAACTGAAACCCTACACATACGCTGCTAATAACTAAAAAAGACTGTAGTCTTGTTTGAAAGAGTAATTTGGTATTTTTTGAAGAATTCTGTTATCTCATCAAATCGTATTTCTATCGCATGGGGAGGCCAGACAAAATACACAAGATTGCTCAGATCAAAAAATTGGTATTTAGAAAGAAATTCAAGAAAACAATACAGCGGTGTTAGAGAGCTCAGACTCCTGCTCTTGAATCGGCTTAGCTTCTCATCCTTGAAAAAAAGATTCCGCACGCATTGACCACGATCCCTTCCTTTATGCAACACCAGCTTATTACTTTTACATGATGGTAGCCTATCCTGCTATAACTATAGCATTCTTTCATGTCTCGTGGCTTCATTAATTTGTTCCGCCTTTATGACTGTACGGTGCCGGTAGTGCTTATTTTTTGTGTACAATCTTCACAATTGTGAGGTCAAGCTGACAGTAGCTAGTGTGGATACCGTCGCTGACTGACAAGCCCGGAGGAGTGTCCCTCCGTCTATAGTACTCGTCATGTGGGTCCACTTGAAAGTTTAGTGTGCCCATGACCCGAAGTTCTGACATATTCGAAGGAGTTCCAATGGAATGAAAACACCACAGCCAACTGCACGGGTCAATTACGGATAGTGCTTGCTATTGCCAAGTTTTGCTTCTCCTAATGTCCGCGGGTGGCAACTTTTCACACCCTGTACTTCAAGGTTGATACCAATCCCG